TATTTTACAGGATGGGGTTGCTAGTCTCATGCCCAACCTTTCCTCTTTACCAGAATTATTTCTGGCTTAGCGAGGTACACGAGTGCATCGGCCGGAGATAGAACCCCGGACCATGTGCATGGTGGGCGAGCGTCCTAACCGTTATGCCACCGACGCTACTTTACTGCTGTACTAGATCTGTATTTTCCTATCTATTTCATTGCCTTATTTACTATTAATAGTAAATAGTTGATTAAACTAGGCATATCAACTTCTCGCTAAAAAATATGTCATATGTTATTATAGACGTCTAACTTTTTTCCCCTTTTTCTTTATTGCCCTACTTCTTTTAAAAAGAACAGAATGTTACATTGACAGATACATTGAGTAGACACAAAAGATGATAGATGATGCACTCATGCGTGTGTATCATTGAGTTTGTGTTTCAGGTGTTTTCATAACTTCACTGCATAAAAACTTGCATACGCTCTAATCAAACACTCAAGAGAGTAGGATGATTGATGGAGTTGTTATAATCAGTCAGGAAGAAAACACTTAAGTGTTACAGCTCTATGCTATGCATTGAAGGTATATCTCTATTATCGCAGAAATGGTAATGGCTAACAATGGAATCCTCGATACACATGTTCCAGTGAGTGATGATATTCACAGTGAAACTTCAACCTACCTGTTGTGACGGAGTGATACTGCGTAGTCGGTTCGTCTAACCTGACTAGAATGCACCTCCAGAAGACTCACACTATAACCAACTGATCACTTGAAAATATCTAGCCCTACCGAGAGAGACACAAAAGTCAGACTGGAAAGCCGGCCACCAGAACGGTAACCTTTATTGGACAATATACATGGAATAAAAAATTACCAAACCCTCAGAAATTTAAACCATAAATAAGACAAAACTGATTGATCGTATGATATCGAATTTCTCAGAAAGCTAGGCCATAATTATTATTATTGTTTCCTTTAATTCCTAGAGGAACATAGGGCTTCAGCCGCGCATCTCCACTGCGTTCGGTTCTCTGCTAGAGTCTTCACCTGGCTCCAAGTCTGCCCACACGTTTTCATCTCCTCTTCAAATGACCTTCTCCAAGTCACCCTTGCACTGACGACCAACTCGCCGTTTCCCTTTCGGGTTCCACTCGAGCAATGGCTTGTCCAGTGATGTCACTTGATGGTTTCCTCAGAGTATGACCAGCCAATCTATCTCCATTTCTTCCTGCCTATTTGTTGCACAGTCGCTTCCTGCTAGGTTGGTTCGTTCATTGCCAGAGATCTCTGTTGCTGATCTTTTCTGTCTGGTCATCTGATCTTGAGTATTGAGCGAAGACAGCTGTTAATGAAGGTCTGTAGTTTGTTTGAGGTGCTCTTTATGACGCGCAGTGCAAGTCTCTGATCCGTATAGTAGCACTGACTGATCTCACACTGGAGTTGAAAATCCGGATCTTATTTTTGTTGCTGAGAGTTGTTGACCTCCACACAGGCTTGAGAGTAGTGAAAGCTTGTCTTGCTTTTCCGATTCTTGCTTTGATATCCTCGCCATAATTAAACGAATCAAATTTGTCTAGTAAGCTTATTATGTCGGCGTACATCCATAAGTGATGATTTCACGACTAACGAGTAAGCTTCTCCGTCATAGTACTACAACTTTTAGCCAACATCACGCAAAACCACGCTATTTTTAACCTAAAAGCATCTTCGAAGAAGTTTCTACTAGGAGCGACAAAAGTCGAGTATTTCTGTCGAATTAAAAAAAGTTGTAATTATAATCCCACAAAATTATCCACACAAGTCTTATGATCATTATGCACTCCTGTACCAGTGAATTAGTCAATTCAGGGTTCAAATGATATCTTAGTTTTGTTCTTCTCTAGGGTCGACTGTTTGTTTTCGGGGTAATGGGGTGGGGTGGGGGAGTGGAGAGCTTATAGCATATCTCTTTGGAATATCCCCCAGGGGATTTATACCGAGTCGAAACACACCAAGGTGTATAGTTTATGTTTCTTTCTTTTCGTTGATAAAAAATTAAAGCAGTTTGTCTTTTTATTATTTCAAAATTTCACTTTATTAACTTCTGATTATTCTAATCACTTCTATCTGTCTTCTGTTACATAGTTTCTACCACTGAATGCTGCCTCTGTTAACTGTTAGCCTTTGTATGCGGACCAGTTTCTATAGTGTTATTGTTTAAGCATTGAGAATTGTTTTGAATTACTCTTTCAAACTGCGTTGATCTTTCTGCTTCATTCAGTTTATTCTATTCTTTTCTAGTTACTTGATGTTTATAGTTTGCCTTTGAATTGTTTGTGTTTATTGATAGTTTTTTTGGGGGATCAAACGAGAAAATCCCTATCTAAGTAATAAAAATAAAAACGAAGACTAATCGGATGGGTAATTTTTCTCCTTTTTTTGTCAATTAATTCGCCATCCATGACTTTAAGCCAAAATGAAGTAGTTTATAATCAATGCCTAATACGTCAAACGAGCGGTAATAAGATGCTGTTAATAATTTATTCATAGTATTATAATACTCCGATGATATATGTGTGATTTCCCACAAACTAGAAGGTATGCAAGCGAAAAGCAACAAGTTGGCACAAGAAGCATCCAAGATAGGACTTCAGATGAACATAAAGAAAACAGAGGTGATGAAGATTCCTGGACAACACCACCGACAGCAACAACAGACAACGATCAACATAAGTGGGAGGAACCTGAAAGAAACAACCTCCTTTACCTACCTGTGAAGCATCGTTTCAACTACAGGCGGAACTGACAAGGATATCAAACCAAGAATCGGAAAAGCAAGACAAGCTTTCACTATTCTCAAGTCTGTGTGGAGGTCAACAGCACTCAGCATCAAAAATAAGATCCCGATTTTCAACTCCAATGTGAATTCAGTCAGTGCTACTATACGGATCAGAGACTTGCACTGCGCGTCATAAAGAGCACCTCAAACAAACTACAGACCTTCATTAACAGCTGTCTTCGCTCAATACTCAAGATCAGATGACCAGACAGAAAAGATCAGCAACAGAGATCTCTGGCAATGAACGAACCAACCTAGCAGGAAGCGACTGTGCAACAAATAGGCAGGAAGAAATGGAGATAGATTGGCTGGTCATACTCTGAGGAAACCATCAAGTGACATCACTGGACAAGCCATTGCTCGAGTGGAACCCGAAAGGGAAACGGCGAGTTGGTCGTCAGTGCAATGGTGACTTGGAGAAGGTCATTTGAAGAGGAGATGAAAACGTGTGGGCAGACTTGGAGCCAGGTGAAGACTCTAGCAGAGAACCGAACGCAATGGAGACGCACTACCGAAGCCCTATGTTCCTCTAGGAATTAAAGGAAACAATAATAATAATTGTGATTATAATATTCACTTCGTCCTTGCTCCAGAATGATCATATGAAGAGTCTTCGTATTTATTGTAGAATTCAAAGGTTCACTCGTCTGATCGTTTTCTCCACATATTTTTTTCAATCTTTTTTTTGCTTTTCAAGTGGGACATTGCACTTCAAGCTTGAGCTTTGAAGTTTCTGCAGCTGTGGTGTTGTTTCCATGAAGTCGGTTTGCTAAACTCATGCCCTGTTTACTGCGTTTACCATCGTCTAAGTGAGATTAATGTGTGTTGGCTGAAAGGGGAACCTAGACCACGTGCGTGGTTAGCAAGTATCCTATCAGTTAACCTCTACATGATTTCTGATAAATCTCAGATACTTTTTCAATATTATTTAGTCCTAAGTCTATGGTTTAACGTTTCTTTTAAGTATTCATTTCTTGATTTATGGTTCACTGATTTAAACACTTGGCTTTCAGACGATCTACTTGCGACTTGATAGTGTTCAGGTTTTATCACTACTATTATTATTATATTATCATTATTCTATGCAACTGCTGTATGATAACTTTCTCATCAAGTAAATCTATCGATCGCGCGTTTGATTTCTCTCGAAGTTGTGGATGCTTGTTGTGCTGGGTTCGATTATGAACTGATATCAGTTAGAGAACTACTGGAGAACCTGAGAATACTGGACAGTGGTTTCGTCCCAGTTAGGGACTCTTCATAAGACGCACCTAAGGGATTTGAACCCAGGTAAGAAGACAGTTACTCGCCTATGATAGTGACTGTCGGTTGCTCCATATATATCGCGAAATGGCAGAAGTTGGGATTCATGGGCCATTGTATTAGGCCCTAGTGGCTTAGTAGTCTACGCGCTTGCCTTGTAACCGGAATTCTCTAGGTTCGTACCGATGAAGAGTTCCAAGATGGGACGAAACACGTGTCCAGTGCCAGTACTCTCTGGTTTTCCAACTATTCTCTAGCTGATCTCAACTCGTGATCAAGCCTGTAACCAATCAGATTCCTGCTAGCCAACTTTTGTTGTTATGGCTGTGTTGCTGATTGATATAGGCACTTGTCTTTTGTTCAGCATATGCCCTCAACACGCTCTACCCATGTTTGTATGAACGACTACTAAGTTATTGTCATTAGCTCTTACAGACTATCTGAAGCATATAGCCTATTAGATAAAAAGAATAAAAAGATGCCAGGCAATTCAGTTCCACTAATGATATTGGCGTGCGTCGGTGGCATAACGGTTAGGACGCTCGCCGACCGTGCACATGGTCCGGGGTTCGATCCCCGGCCACCGACGCACTCCTTCACCTCGCTAAGCCAGAAATAATGCTGGTGAAGAGTAAAGGTTGGGCATGAGCCTAGCAACTTCATCCTGTAAAATAATAAACACTGCTACAGAAACTTCAAGCCACTAGCTTGAAGGCTAATGTTCCACTGGAGAACGTGAAGAAAAAAAATGATATTAGCACTTATATGCTATTCTTTTATGTATTTCGATGAAATACTACTAACTCTGCCTAAAATAGACACACTATTGAGTAAAATCCCTCCATAAATTCAAGATGACCTTGTTTTACATACTTTAATGACATTTAACCTGCGCATTTTTTAATATTGTTTCAATGTTTATTTTGTCTAGGTGAAGAATTAAATCCTGTTGAACAAGAAAGTCTAGAAACAATCGAATCATCAGATGTTATGCTGAATTTGTTAAAACGTTTAGGCTCTATGGAAAAGTAAGTGAGATAAATATGCCTATATTTTTTATATTTCGTATTTCATTTTCATGTCTGGGTGAATGGAGAGGCGGAAAGACTTGAATATTGACTGAAAATTATTAAAGTTACTATAGGCGTTAGATGAAATCTCAGGTAGACAGGTAAGCACCAAGTCTGCCAATAACTGTGTAACAAACTAAAAAGCTTACTACACCTTACACTGACATATTTAGGCGAAACGTAACATGAGGAATAGTCAAGCAGTGCAAAATAATATCATAATAGTATCACAGGTTGTTTAAGGCCAAGTTTGATGTTCATCTTATTAGTGTAACCGGTAGGTTTCGCCGTTCGAATCCCTATCTCATTGAAAAGATATTCCTACTAAGGTTCTTGTTTGTTGTTTGTTTGTTGTCCTCTTACGTCAAGTAGTCGAACAAGAACTGAAACACTTGTGGAATCTGCACCGGAACGAGCTTATGCTAGTGCTTATAAACGGACATTGTACCTTTGGAAATTCGAACGACTACAAGGTAGATGAGATGTCTTTACAAATTCACGTCAGTTGAAGAACGACAAAAAAATCAGAGAGAAATGAATTTGATTCGAGTAATCTTTAGGTCAGAACTCTTTAGTAAACCAAGCTGGAGACAGTGAGGTTACATGCTACACTCTTACCACTGGGTTAGAGATTGATGACCTAAGGTTTCCAACTCTCAGGAATTTTGGAGATGTGATATGATTATGAGTAAAAAATTGTGCTCGAAACGTCATCAGTGAATATTACTGTATAACACTGTGAGACTTTATCAGAATAAAAATTTTAGCCATAATGGAATTATACTCTACCACAGTGCACAAGTTCTATTCTTATATCAATTTGAGAGAAAGTTGCAATGCTATCCATTATCCATCTCTAAATAAACTTCAAAAAATCCACGTGTAGTGGATTGTAATTAATCTGTCTCAATTCCAGGGATGTGAATTGGCAGAAAGACAAACGATGGGCCGGTTACATTTCAAATCAGTGACTGAATGAATACCGTGGGTTATAGATCCCTGGTAAGGCCACTGCTTTGCGTTGCTGAGAAGTTACAAACTAGATTCAAACAGCTTTTCGATGATTTCATTCTTATTATTATTCTCTTGGGTTCCAAGGGGAACATAGGGCTTCAACAACACATCTCCATTTTCTTCTCTTTTCTGCCATCCTCTTCATCTGGGTCCACGATTCCTCACAATCTCTCATCTCCTCCTCGCCACACGATCTCCTCCATGTCACCCTCGGAAGACCTACTCATCGATTCCCACTGGGATTCCACTCGAGTGATGGCCTGCACTGCGCGCGGTGCCATTCGACGGCCTCCTCAACGTGTGCCCGATCAATTCATCTCCATTTTCTCCTACATATTTGTTGAGCGATCGGCTCTCGCCTTTTGGTTTGTTCCCTGCTAGAGTTTCTTGCTGCTAATTCTTTCTGACCGGCCGGCCGGTTGGCCATTTGATCTTCAGTATGGAGACAGCCAGTGAAGGAGGCAGCTGTTGACAAAAGTCTGCAGTGGCCTGTTGGAAATCCTTATCGTGACACGCAGTGCAAATTTCTGGCCCGTAGAGAAGCAATGACCGACTGACTGACTGACTTCACATTTGTGTTGAAGAGAATGTGAATCTTGTTGTTTATGCTGAAGCGGAGTGCAGTGCAGAAGACTTCCAAACTGGTTTCAGGTTGATGACGGCGTATCTTGTCTTTCCGATTGTGGCTGGCTGGCTGACGTTGACATCTTTATCCGTGTGGTGTGCTTTTGGTTGAATCCGTGCTTCGTGTCCAGATAAGTGAAGGAAGTGACCTCTTTCAAATTTCTCCCATTGATGGTGACTTGTGCTGGTTGTTGTTGTTGGTTGGCTATCTTCATTACCTCTATCTTCTCTATGTTCATCTGGAGTCCTGTCTTCTCTGGTTGCTTCTTCAGCCAGTTTGTTGGTTCTCGCCTGCAAGTCTCCGAGTTTGTGTGGCATTAGACCTGCGAAATCCAGACCTTCTAGAGTCTTCTTGTCGGTGGTCCAGCGTATTCCTGACACGTCGCTCCCACGCACAGACTAACACATAATCTCCAGTCCACCACAATTAAGAATATCATCAGTGATAATAGGTAGCACTGTCTTACTTCTGCATTTTCATTCTTATTACTCTACACTAATCACTAATTCGTCAGAACATGTTAACTCCTATTCAGTAGTTAACACCGTTCTTCACTATACTACAAAAAAACTAAACTGTACTTTAGTATAGCGTTATTGTTATCTAGTCACTGTATAAGACAGATTAGTTAGATACTCGACAAGTATAGTTTTTTGTGTATTTTATTTCCCCAAGTATACATTTATACAGTTTGATTCATCTTTTGCTTTTCTTTCAGTAATCTTTCATCGCTAGAAGAAAGGCTCAATAGTGAACTGAATCAAATATCTGAATTGATCGACTCGTGTTGATTGTATTATGTATTGTAGATTAAATTATTTTCAACTCATTTTTTTGTTAATTACTTCTCTAGATTATGAAAAGAAAATAAAGGGGAATAATTAAAATATTTGTACAATTTTTATTATTATTATTATACTTGTATCAATTATACTGTAGATAGACGACGCATTGTGCAATATATTTTATCTCTTTTCAAATATTATCACTCAATATGTGTAATTAATTAAATACATGCATTTCAAGTTTATTGTTATTATTGAAAAAGAGGTATGGAAAACACTCTTAACCCCCTCCCCCTTTCATACTCACTCATTCATTCACTTAATTAGCCTTTTAGTTGTACAATTGCCAGTTCTTTTTGTCTATCTCAACTTTTGTTCTGTTTGGCCGGATATGTGAGGTTGATGTGGTGGCGAATGAATGAAGAAATCTTTCACCTTTTATCCTTAATGATTTTAGTGACAATATTTTTGCCTGTAATTAGAGTGAGTTCATTCCTAGTGTATTATTCACAGAGCCGATATATATATATATATATATATATTACTGTCCAATTCACCTCCTGACCATGCAGCTTTTACTTCTCAAATGCCTACCTACATACACCCTTATCAACATTCATAGATGACTTATGCATACGTCTGTCTATAGAATCTTTTAGTTGAACATTACCATCATCATTATTATTGTTGTTTTAACAAAGAGTACAATAGTAATTTTTGCATTTATCGCTTGTATCTGTGATTGATTAACCTGTTGAATTATTTACTATTATGGTGATTAGTTTCACCATTGTCCCGTTTATTATTATTATTTTTTCTTTTGTTTTCGTTTACATTCATTCATTCTAAAACAAAAAAAACTATTTGTTCGTTCCCTTCTTTTGTATTAGACTACTTTGTATATAAACAATATAAAAATATGATTAGTTGTGAATAATTCTACTCGTTGTATTTCTATTCGAATACTGAAGCCTATGCATGCCTCTACACTTTTATCGCTGTAAATAATGAGTGATACAGAATGTGTTTTCTTATATTAGACAGACATATAGATCGACGTGGAACTTTACAAAGAACAGTTACACTGCAAAGTAGGCTAGCTAGCCAGAGTTTTGGGGGGCCTGTCTGAGTTGACCCTATCCGTATAAACTACTGTTAAGCTTAGCGTTAAAGGGGTGAAGGGACCGTGTGGTGTTGAAACTAGCTAGTTTCCAACTGCTCATATCGATCAGAAGTGCATGTCACACTGATTCGAAACCTGTGGTGTACATGGCCTCTAGAATCTGAATGCATCTAAGGGTGTATTAATGTGTTTCGGTCACCAACAACCAAGAGAACATAGCCGATCAGACCTTAAGTCATAGGCTCGAAGGATGGTCCTGGTCTCGATCTGGGCGTTCGGGAGGTATCCCAGCCCTCGCAAAAACTTTGGTATTTTGTGTGGCTCATCTCATGGTGCCTATAATGTACTAAGTTTGTGTTTTTTAATAACAAATAACTGTTCGTAAGTGTTTTCCAACATAATTATACCTTAGTTAAGATTGCTTGTCAAGGGATCCCTAAGGTTGAGTGAGGTATGCCATAAGCTAGCATAACAACGCACCATGGACATTTCACCAATACTGTCAATCATCCGTAAATAGTATAATGGTAGAGTTTACGTTGTCTATCCATTTTGCTTGCTTCATTATTTTTAGGAATATAACAGTTGATTTACATATTTCTGGTGATAAAGATATGACTTATTAGCTTAAGCAACGGACTTGTAAACGATATGTCCTTACTTCCAACCCTATTCCACATATTTTAGTCCAAGCAACTGAGTGATACCTTAAAGCCATCATAGTACGCAAACTTGTTATAAAACTCGCCTATTCTATTCTAACGAAACTAAGCATTTTGTTGAGAAGCAAATTGTGTACCTAACAGTTTCATCCTTCAGCAGATGAAATTGATGACCTCTAGAGAAACTGAGCTTACACGCGATAGACCAACACCACGTTTGATCAGTCTTTCTGGAATTCAAATGACGCATGTTGCTAACTTCCACGAGTTCACCACGCCAAACAGAAAACGAATCAAACTCAATGATAGAAATTTATTTATATCACAGTTAAATACAAACAAGCCTAAGCAATAATTGTTTCTCTGTCCAAAATTCATTTAAGAAAATAACAATATTTTGTAAAAAAAGAAGGGAGAAAGAAAAGAATAAATTAAAATATACAAAAATAATTGAACACAATATAACATACAAATAAGCAGATATTAGTCAGCTAGTTAGTTAGGAGAAGTGAGGATATAAAAGTCAAAACAAAGATATATTGAGCTAAGTAAAAAAATTTTTAAACACACAATAATTTACAGCCTAGGATACACCATTCACTGTATCACTTCCAACATAATTATCAGAATCATTTACACTGGATTGTTTAGATGTTGATAATTTAAGCAGATTTAAATCAGTTGTCATAGTATTTACACTATCCTCAAAGGTGGATGAGTGTACGTCAGCTTGTAAATCGATATTATTTGTGTTCACTATGGGTTGAACAGTAGCAGTAGTCGTAGTAGTCGCCAGTGAAGGAAGTAGGCTTGACCATTTCAAGTAAATAGGTGAACAGATCATTCGGGATAGATTTAATAAAATAGGACGATACAATGAAGTTGGATTACTACAGATCGGTAGTGATGCATTCGCGTCAACGTCTTCTATGAATAGGTAATCAATTACATTTGCTAGAATACAATATGTCAGTGATGTAGAAAATGCACTAGCCAAACATGTTACATCATCTATCCAATTATCAGAATGTTGTTCTTTCAGGTTGTCATAACTTTGTGTTATACACAATGCAGAAGAATGTAGGCCATTTGATATGATTATAATAATTCTATAAATTGGAAAAAAAAATACAGAAATAGTAACATTTATTCATTCTTGTAGAAAGAAAGAGAAAAAGAATTTACTTAGAGGAAAAAATTCAATACACAGCTAGACTAAAGCGCATTAACCACCAATGAAACGCTGGTAAGAACCGTGTGGAAAGTTTGTTCAGATCACTCGGATGGAAATTAGTGTGTCAAGCGCGCACAACTGTCCACCAACAATAACATGACATAAAAGAAGATTGATGTGCACATATCTTTACACTTTATCCTTTTCTAGTATTATTCACATGATATTCTATGTCTGATTAACGCTGTATTAGACTTCTTTGTCACTTACTTCACTCATACATGACAAGTGTAGGAGGAATGAAAATGTAGTAATACTAAGTTCTGTGAAAATATTTGTTTACCTTATTCTGAGTTTATTTCCACCTTCCAGACCTGAAGTTTTTCGTTTAATGAATGATTCAACTTTTTCTAAGCACCAATTTTTTTCTTTTTCTTATTTCATATTTTTTTTACCTTCGTTGACTTAAACTTTCAGTGTTGTTATAGGCATATGTTAAAATAGTATATAGCGCCGCACTACTGACAAGTAGTAGGGTTATTCTTTTGAAATTTTGTGTAAATTTACAGTTTGAAGCACAGAGAAACAGCAATGTTAAGTTAGACATAATTAATCTGTTGCTTTCGTCTAAAACTACAAACACATTAACGCACTTCTTTAGGTTTCGGATTGTGATTAAGTTAGGAAAAAAGCCATGTGTTTTCATGTATTAGAACGCATCTCATCACAATTTTTAAATCAAGGAAAACACACGCTGGTTTTATAATCTCATACACTTATCAAATCCAACAATCTACACATGATGATTTTGTTATCTTTACCAATTCACCAACTTAACAACTAAAAATGCCCCAGACAGACGAACGATGATCAAGTTAGTAAACTTTTCTTTCTTTTTTCGATATCATAACAGACATACTATTACCTTTGTTATTTGGTATAGTTATCTTCATCGCTATTTTTACTTTCAATATGTCCCTTTAACTTGACCTATGTTTATTTTCTCACCCCCTAACTGTTTGTTATATATATGCTGAGATTTTGTAAATTCCGGTTTAATAATACTTTGATAAAGCTATTAGCATTAAATAGCGAAACGTCAGTAAAAACAATATCGTTTTGTTTTTCATTCATTGGGAAATACAAAAACCTTTATTATAATGAAAACATAACTTCTAGTTGTAACCTGATTCTGAATTCAATTTTCAACTTAAAACTTTTCACAAAAGTGAGGAAATCAACCTGACACACTTTGAAAAGTACAAACAAAGATAGAGAGGGGAAACAGAAATAACAAAGAGAGAAAATTTACGAAAAAGAATAATGACATGGAAAACAATGAAGATCACAAAGGGAATGAGTCTGTCATTGAGCAGGATTTAGAGCACCGTCACCAACAGTCTCTAGTCATTAGTTCTTAGCGTTTCGAGTACGCCACGCAGGCCGTCGACATCTACCTACATGGTCAAGAACAGCAGTCAAAGAATTCATAGATAGATGTTATGCTTTTGTCTGATCATTACTATCTCTCCCTAAAACGAATCCTGTACGCTGATGCATCAAACATTTATTGAGATGTTTGTTTTCGGATAATTTGCATTTTCTGTTGATTATGTCGGACCGAAGTTCTAGGTTTCTACTCACCCTTCTAGATTGAATGAGGTGGAGTGGGATTCGAACTCGGGATCTATTGGCTGAAAGTCGAATAATTAAGATGTTGAGCCACATCTCCACCGATAAACTTATCAACAAGCCAAGATTTACATTATAGTGAAAGATGATAACGTCTAACTGGGTAAACCTCTGTGGATAGATCAGGGTTTGGACTGTGGCTAACTGGAAGAAATCTGGTTAACATAGACGAGTAAGTGATAACCCCTCATACTCGTTAAAAATTCAAATATCCATTCAGAATGTGTTTCTTCCGTAAAAGCGAAATACACTAGGAAATGAGAACTTCTTTAGAATCAGCAAGAGTAAGTTATGCACCACGTTCATCCGTTATTTTATAAACCATACCCTACTCACAGATTTACAGAATTTCTTAAGTAAACAATTATTCACCAACTTGTAGAGATTTAAATGGTCTCATGACTCGTTTAGTCACGAATAATTGAAAAAATCCCCAGTCGGTTGCTTTATCCTAGATTACGATTACTCGACAATGAACCACAACGGCCATCCCATTAGAGGCAAAACTCAAGATCATTAAGTTGTAAAATAACCAATATTACCACTTGGAAAGTAGGTGCAAATTCAGGGTTCCACGATTTCTAAGTACTTCCGATTCAGACATCTTAAAAATAACAATCCACTTCTCAGTAGTGATTAACTTTCAGCTGATCTCCTCACAGTGTCAATTAGAAATTGTAACTTGTGTAGTCTACCGAGTTTGGATAGTGGTTTCACTAGATTGCCCCCGGTCCCGCTCCGTAAAAATGTTGGAAATCCTGAAATATTGATTTCCAACCCTGTGGTTGAATGATAAAATGTTTGCCCTGTAACTTGACTGTCCTTGCCTCAAATTTTCAGATTATAACATTTAAGTTGTCTAGTGAGCCTCACTTCCAACAGTTTCTC